TATAACAGCACAGTATAAGTATTGTTAAGTTTCCGCCCGTTCTAACGTGTTCTATAGCTAGCTGAAAGCTTTTTTCAGTCCAAAAACTTTTTTGAGAAGTCCTTATATAATTTCTATGCATATCCTGCAATAAAACGAGAAAACAAAAGTTTATTAAAAATAGGCATATTGGAAATCAATTAACAAAAAATAGGCACGTTACCCCAAGAAAAATGTGGCATATTTTCCATTTGTTGGGGTAAGATGCCTAGTAGAGTCACGTGCTCCAGCATGTCCGATCGGGATCGGCGGTAGCTGACAATGGAAACTTTAGAACCTTAACTACATCACACATTAATTGTTTTTAGCAATTTTTAATAAATTCCATTTTAACTTTTAGTTTAAAATTATTCTAGAAACATTTCACAACAAAAACTTCGTTCTTATCTAGCTTTTATTCTTCTCGGATGTAGAAAATGAAGTAACGGTAGCCAACTACAGCTTTCCGCACTCAATATTGGCCCAACGATTCATCATACAAATACATGACAATATGTGACGTCACCGTTTGAAAATATCAAAAATTAGGCATCTTCCCCCGCTTACCATCTTACCCCGAATCACTCTATGCGTTGCAGTCAAACCAGTTTTTAGTTAGGATGCGTTTTAACTAGTTAAAACTAGTTTATACTGGATGTCTTTGTTAAAACCCGTTTTGTCTAGTTAAAACTAGAATTTACTGCTAGTCAAAAATGAATTTGAGTTAAAACTAGTTTCAACTAGACAAAACGGGTTTTAACAAAGACATTTAGTATAAACTAGTTTCAACTAGACAAAACGGGTTTTAACAAAGACATTCAGTATAAACTAGTTTCAACTAGTTAAAACGCGTTCTAACTAAAAACGGGTTTTGACTGTAACATATATATAGTCAATCAGTAACTTTTTTATTTGGTGGGGAGTTACTGCCGTAATTCTAGATTGAATAGATTTCACTGTTATAAAAATTATTTAAATCTTTCAGAGAGTTATATACATTAATACTTTTACAATAAATTTGATATTTGAATATAAAATATTAAACAACAGAAAATGCAAATAGTAATTGATTGTTACTAATAGTCAAAATATAATCAGTAATAATAAGTTATACACAATTATAAAAATATTATTTTTTGGTGACAATTATATTTACGTAAAGTAAAACAGTACAGATCAGAAAATCGTAGAATTTATTACAATAAAACTCTAACTCAAAGCTCCAAGGGGCAGTGCAGGTACAAAACTTCGAGTTACAGACGTTTGAGTTAGAGAAGTTTTACTGTATTTAAATGATCATTTGTATTTCTTGGAAACTTGTATTAATTCATGACACATTCTTAGTCTGGCCTGAATTAGACCATTTTAAGTACTGTAAATGTTTGCAAAGACGTGACGATTAATTCTTTTCAGTCGATCTACAGGTTTAATTTAAAAAGGAGGAAAAGAAAACGTCTTATTGTTACATTGGAAGTGATAAGGAATTTGTCGATTGTGCTTTGAAGATTTTAAAATCGTAATGTAAAAAAGATTATCACGATAAATGGTGAAACGTTCAAAAACGGCTTTAGATATTATTCCTAATCTGGATGAAGGAAGCGTTATTGTACTTAATAATCCTCCATATCCTTCTGTTAAATTAGAAAAAAATTCCAAACATCAATCGGAAAAAGAAAGAAATGATCAAAAATAAGGATACACAAATGTTAAAATCGGAGCTCTTGAATATTGTAAAAAGCCATGAAGTCGCTTTGTCTAAGGAGTTTATCAGTATTGTGGCTGCATCTTATTGTAGCAATATTAATCTAATAAAATAAAAATGGCTTAAGCGAAAAACTATGTTGCAAGCAAAAATATAACATTCAGGGAAACAGTAATCTGATGTCCAAACTTTATTTATCGAATAGCTTCCTCCCTTAAACAAAAAATATTGCAAAAGTGTATTGCACGTATACAATAGAAAGAATAATGTGGCAATTAAACGTAATAAACAATGGATAGATATGTAATTTCAAATCTATCTATAGTTATGGAGGAAAGTAAGGTTAGGCGGAAGCACGAAAAGAGCAAGGAAAGGGGAAAGACAATGGGAAAAAAAGATAAATTCTTCGACTTTTCTAAAATAGACGAGCAATTATATATTGCGACATCGTCACAATGCCGGACTGCAATTTTTAATCATACTTTTAATTTATTTAATTTAAAACATATGCTTTTCACCTCAAAGTAGTAGTTGCTTGCCACTGTACTGTACATCATACGTTTCCTTTAACAATAGAGTGATATCTAACACCTTTCCGAAAAAAAATTTTAAAATCAAATAACATAACTTCTGATTTGCATCAAAAGTTGTGTCGGGATAATTCGTCTGGACGTACGATTTCCCGCGCTTTTCCTGTTTTCAAACGACCAACGGACGTCATCATGGAGACACGGATCTGGAGATGTTAGTAGTTTTGAAACTCGACCACGGATTGGCTAGAAAACATCGTACGACCAGCTGACGTCCGATAGCGCTTAGTAGCGCTACCGGACGTCCGCTAGTCCGCTGGTAAGCGCTGATTGGTGGAATTACATTTGTCTCAATCCGTATAAAAGGATTGAGATTTGGCGGGAAGTTCAGTTCGCTTAAGACATATCTAAGTTTGTTAAGCTTCTCCTAAGCTTGCCTAGAAGGTTGGTTTCGTCTCGCTCTGCGATAACCAACGTCTGAAGGAATCGTCGCAAGGAGTCCTTTTCGACGGACCTGTTGTGGTTTAATTGACATTCGAACTTTGCTATAACTGGATTATTGTAATTGTTTTATTTTTGTAAGTTCATAACCGTATGTAAGTTTTAATCGTTAATATAAACGTTTGTGAATTGTGAACTAAGTGGTTTGTGAACTTGATTAGTTGGTTTATAGTTAATCGGGACTTCCTGTTCCAAGGTTTCCATATCTGGTGTGAGATCCCCGATTTTTACGTAGTTGTCGGAAAAAAATTTGTAAACAACTCCGATGGAAAAAACCCGCTCTTAGTGAGAATAATATCGGAGGTCACCGTTTGTTTTCACAATTAGGTAGGAAAGTTGACACTTGGTTGATCGGAATGCACCGTTAGTGTCAACAGAAGTCGATCACGTGACTCCTTTCCCACGTAGACAGTATAGAAGCTCGAGCCCCCGGAAGCTCAGGGCGATCCAAAGGAAGTTATAGTTGTTAATGTGTGCATCTTATCTCCATACACCGGACTCAGCGACCGAAAGAACATCGCCATACGACAGTCCACAACTTCGAACTTCCATCGCCAATCTGCAGTTCCTGTGCCGACTACGATTCCTGTGGTCCATTCAACGCACGCATATCATTCATATCTTCATAGAGGTATTAGAGAGGTTGAGGCGCACGTTTTAAACGTGTAAACGTGTACATGTGACGTTCGGCGCCGCTTTCCCGTAAGCCTAAAAGTTTGACAATGGTGTTTGGATAGTCGGTGGAATCACGCTCGACATTCCAAACATCATCGTCAAACTTTTAGGCTTACGGGAAAGCGGCGCCGAACGTCACACGTTTACACGTTTAAAACGTGCGCCTCAACCTCTCTATTTGTATTTTAGAGCTTTGTGAACTCTATCTCAGAATAGCCGTTAAAGCTGTTAAGAGCGGGTCTTTGTATAGTTAATTCCTATTTAACCGCATTTCATCTTAATATTATTATCGCCTCATGTAACCTAGCTTGATTATTCAATAAATGCTTTGCTATTTTGTTAAACCTGTCTATCGTTGTATCTGCCGACTTACCGACGCACTCCCCACTCGATTTGCCCTCCTAAGCCATCCGACAATCCGAGTCCAGGTTTGAACAACGTGTGCAGCGTAAGTGGTTATTAGAGATCACCCCAGTGGCCCTCTGCTAGTCTCTCACACTGGTCTCGATTTGCATCTATCTACCTCCGTTCTCGATATTAAGGAAATACAGACAGACGATCGACAGTGGGAATTTATACAATTGTTTCAAATTGCAGCACAATTATTAAATTCTTCAAAAAGTGTTCTACTCCTGGTGTACTTCCCTGGTAAAAGTTTATTGTCTCGTTCAATACGAGAGTGAAAAGACACTCATTGCGATTTGATAAACAATTTCCAAACAAATGCCCCTATTGTATGCCCAAGTGTCGGCATTGTAAATACAATAACAGGAAGTATGTTATTGTATTTACTAAGTTCCTAATTAATAACTTTTGCTTATCAAATTTTATTTCACATTCGAAAACAGATTGAATATAAATTTTATAAAGAATCCATAATAAGTTAGTAATATAATCAGAGTATCCGGCGCAGCTTTCTCCATAAAAAGTCTGAATGCAATACTGTGTGTTTAGTCTTTAGTTGTGGAAGTATCACCTAAAATTGAATTATTTATTGCGATAAATAAAAATAAAATTTATTTAAAATGTAAAAGATGAAAGGATGGAAAATAAAACATTTATAAATAAACAGAAAAATCATTTCATTCATCGCATTGCTGCGAAGGACGTTGTAGATGGAGTTTTAAAAATATTTTTATTAACAAATTTTATGCGTTTAATTGAATCTATTATTATATTCTTTGAAAGAACATTCATTAAAATAACAATTACTAATTACTTGGTAAATATTTATAAAGGATATTTATCGAATATTTTGTAATTAAATTTCTAAAATGATGACAATATTATTTATCTCTGTATTTAACTTATCTTTATGATATAACTAGTATACATTTTCTAACAGTAGAAAGATAATTAAAACATATATTATACAATAGTTTCATTTATAAATGTAAAATTATATTAAAAAATTATAACAGATTTATAGTAACATTAAAAATTTTTAGTTCCCTGTATACGATTAGAAATAAATTAATATCAAACTATCAATAAGGAAACTAAAATACTAGTTTCCTTGTTCATAATTTAACACTAAGTAAAAAAGTAAAATAATGCATAGAAGAAAGTTTTACCTGATTCATTTTCTATACTGGTATAATTAATTCCTATAGAAAGGCATGATATAAAAACAAGTAGACTTATAGCCATTGTTTTGACTAAAAACATGACGACTTGTTAAGCTTTACAGTTAAAAGAACTTCGCTGTTACAAACAATATCATTTTCTCTTATCCCGATGACGTTATTACTAAAGATTATTCATTATCATTTATCAGCTGACTGATTCGTTATCGATTATTCATTTTTTGTTAATTACGTTGTTTTCTAGCCGAAAGCTTTGAAAAAATGTTTTGTATATACATATATTTTAAATAAATATAATAATAAAATAAGCATCTCTCATCTGTCAAATAAAAATCCTAAGTATGATCATTCTTTTAAAAATATATGTTATAAATAAAGAGAAGCTTATAAATATATCCTCCATATAAAACATTAAAAATATTAAACTATCTTTTGTATTTTATAAAAATTTTATATTATAAAACGATAATTTTCGTTATAAATCAAGTAAATAATAACCAGCGATTATTTATTGTGACGTAGTCACAATGCTGGGTTGCAATTTTTTATCATATTTTTAATTTATTTTATTTAAAATATATGCTGTCCACCTCAAATTAGTAATGACTTGCTCATACTTTTCCTTTACCAATAGAGTCGTGTCGATCATCTATTTTCTGCTTTCAGGGGAAAAGTATTGAATAGAAATAACGTGACTTTCAGTAAAAACCGAAAGTTTGTAGCCTATATAGTCAATTGGGGTCTTCTATGGTTTCCATATCTGGTCTTAGATTTCATATATCTAACTCCGTTCATGAGATTAAGGAAAGACAACGGACAGTCGACAGTGAAAATTTATAAGTCTACGATTTCTTTTTTCAAATTGTAGCACAATCTATTAATATATCACTTTATAATATATAATTATATTACCATATTATTGAATTATTGTTTTTATTTAAATTATAATTATTATTATCTATTTTTGAATATTAAATAAAAAGATCTGTAAAAAAATCCAGCAATGAGTTGCTTAACTTTTCCGGGTGTTATGAGATTTTACTGAAAAAATCTGTTTACATTATTATTATAAAATAGAAAAACGCTTCAAATTTTATTTTCCTTTGTCTCGTCTTTCTGTGAAATTTGACACTGATGAGTCATTGTTTAGACAGCTGGATGACCTTGAGAACAGCTGGAGTCGGATTTCCCGGGGCATTCTCATAGACGTCTCAGGAGGACAAGGGTTTAAAGTAGGGTGAATACTAGCTGGCCTTATATTTTTAAATATTTTTAAAAAATTAAAATTTTAATTGCGATTTCCGACCCCCCTAATTAATTAAATTTATATAAAATTAATTATATTAATTTAAAAAATTTAAAAACTATTGGAGGTCGTTTTTGACATCAGAAAGCAGCTTTAAATAACTTTACCGAAGGAAAATCGGTGCACTGTGACCAAAAATCACTAGTATTTTTTGTCTTTAATAATAATGAGTTTATTTAAGCCAAAAATAACTTTTTCTTTGTCTTACATAATGACTTGTAACTTTTATTTAATTTACAGTATTCATCCAATAGATTTCTAGTTTTGTTTTTACGAAACATTCATAGTACTTGGTTCTTTGTTTTCTTTAAACATAGGCACTGAGGATCAAACCATTGTTTTTCAAATGGTGATAAAGAAATATTTTTCTTGATCATTCCATATTGTAAAGCTGAAGTCAACAAAGTCTTCAATAGTTTATCATAGTAAATTCTGCACATCCAACAGAAAGGTCTCTTTAACTGTAATATATAGCAAGCTGATCAAAGATAAATAGTCAT